ATGAACATTAGACGGTGATGAACGTAAGCGAAATCACTTTTCATTTTCACCTATAGGCATTCTGTAGTATATTCCTATATATATACATATTTATATATAAACAGAGAGAGAGAGAGAGTATGTATGTGCGTGTGTAAACCTTCCGAATATCGGCTGCTATAATGAATAGTAATATAGGTGGAATATCTGGTTCATAAGGCATATATAAAAAATATATAACGGGGATAATTTAATCATTTTAAATTATTGAAAATAAATTTTTTATATTTTTATGTGGTATATACACCAAAAATGTTATCTTAATCATATTTTAAAAAAAATATTAAAATTAAAATAGTAATATGTATTTTAATTTACTCAATGAAGATCTGACAGCTGGGATTTTACCTATTTTACTGTTTATTATAGTCGTCAAGTGTTTGTTAGATTTTTCGACACACATACAAAGGTTTTGTCTTGTATACTACTTCAATAAGAAAAGAAATAAAAAGAATTGAAATATGTAGAAGAAAATAATGTCTCCTGATTCAATAGAGATGATCCATTTTTCCGAGGATGTGACTTAGGTTTCAAAAATCTCAAAATTCAAAATTTTTATTATGAAAATATTCATTTAGTTATTTTTAGGTGGTTCTCAAAGGTTTAGATTGAAAAATTCATCCTAAAGAGATCTTTTTTAGATTCACAGTATCCTAGGGGTATAATAAATATGCTCTACATTGTATTTCAAGACCAATATAGACAAATTTACTTGGTTATTTTTCCCCTCTATCTTTAATGGAGGGACTCGGAAAAAGAGAGGGAAAATGAAGATGAAGCGGTCTAATGTTGGGGATAGCTTACAACCTCAATTTTTTTATCATTTCAACATAGAGATGCATGGACATGAGGAAAAACTGGATTTCAAGTTTTCGAAATAGTATATTTTGTAATGCATTTTTGGATCATCAATTATCAAGATTTTCAAGTTTTCTCTTGTAGACGCACGCTTTCAATTTTCTTCCTTGTGTCTTTTCAAGTGGAAGATAAGGATCCACCTCAAAATCATAAGTTAAACAGTTGGATCTACGTTGTTCTTAAATACTTAAAAGGTGAAGTTTCTATAAGGTTGTGAGCTTAAACAATACAAATAAGGCACATGTCTAAGTTTTATCATAATATGTAATTTTGTTTTAAAAAATTCTTTGGATTATCTCAAAATCAATTTTTCATATCTACTTACAAAATTTTAAACTTGAAAAAAAGGTTAAAATCAAGTAGATCTATAAACATATGAAAATTTTGAGAATGGACGGTCTAGATGATATGTTGCAAGATGTGCTATTTCTGAGACTCAAAACTTTTTTTTTTTTCTTTTCATATTTATTCATCTCGAAGTCAAGATGATCAATTATAGACTTTTTCAACATTAAAACAACCCTTTCCGATGGATTTTTGAAGTGATCTTTACTTTTAAGCTGGCAACCTTGTATAAACTTTTTTTCCATACTTAAATATGACTACCCAAAAAAGAAAGAGTCTGTACCCAATCTTGAGAGTCTTTGTTTCCTACCGGCATATTGAGTGCATTTAAAATTTCTAAAGGTTTATATATGGTAGCAATCTTATATTATAGAAGCAATGTTCATCTCAAAATCTTTTTTTTTTTGGACAAGCCCACGTAACTTTTATTCAAGAATCAACAACTCGGTTACAATGATAAGGATGAAAGAAACAAACAGTCGGCATAAGCCCCATCTTTAGCAAGAATATCAACTCTCTCATTAGCCTCGATGTGAACATGGTTGAAAGCGACCACCTGATTTTTGTATAAGTTCATCACCTGCAATCAATACACTCTTAAACTCCATAGAGGCTTACTCTTCCCCGAGCACAAGTTTACAACATTAAGAGAATCCCCTTCCACCTCCCATCCCACACACGGAAATCGTTCCTTCAAGAATTTAACGCCTCGTAAAAGTGCTAAAGAATCTGATACGTTGAAGTCAGAGAACTTTCCAATTAATCATCTTGACCTCAAGATGTATAATATAAAAAAAATAAATAATTTAAAGTCCTAAACATAGTTCATATGGTAAGAAGTTATCTAAATTTTCTATTTTACGATTTTAAGTGTTTGTAGATATTCTCAATATGCACCGTCTTTGAAATTTTAATTTTCATAATTAGGCTTGAATATAGAAATTCAAGCCATCGTAAGGTTTCGAACACCAAAACTACATTTTTTGCCTAAAAATTTTAAGGTTCACTCTTACTTGTATAGTAGAAGGTGCTCACCTTACACAAACCTCACCTATAAATTTACTTCATCATGTAGATAGGTCTGCTCGTCAATTTTAATTGTCCTATATTGCCCTTCAAACGAAGATCTCATCATTGGACCACTTTTTAACTATTTGTTTTTTTTGTTAGGTTTTATCAATAATAAGGTTCTGCCCTAACATTTAAGCCGTGGAAGGAATAGTTCGAGGATAGGGACCTCGAGCTGCACTATGGAGTCACCGGGGCTATCCACAAGTGGTCCGAGGTCCCAACTTCGGATTACCTAAATTGAGTTTTAATAGCATAACATAGAGATCCGAGAATGGGGCTTTGGACTTCTTTTTTGCACTGCCCTAGACCTTAGGGTATAACCCTACTATGAAATGATACTAGAAAGAAGAAACAAAAATTAAAAAGCGGGCATTCTCGGGGGTGTAATTTTTACCATAAATTAACGTATTTTGTATTTCATTAGATTATATGTGTCCGCACGTAAATTACTCTTAATTGTTTACTTTGGGTGTTAGTAAAATCGAGTAACGTAGGAAATGCTCTTTTGCCCTTCATTTCAAGAGAGATGTTAGAAATGATAAACCCCCATTTCTGATTGGAGAGAGAGAATTGTCTCCTTCAAATAAGAATCGAATCAGAGCTCGTTTGCCTCTTCATTCCTCTTTCCTAGCATTCCAGAAGAAAGAGAGAGAGAGTAATCTTCCCTGCCGAAAGAAGCGTATCAGAGTAGTTTCACTATCTGCGGTTCTTACCTAAGGGATTCTTGGGAGGAAGGATGTTTGGATCGTACTTTCTTGGAGATCTCTAGAAGGAGCGCATCCCCTCCTGACCCAAACCAAAGAACACTGATTAATCTCGATTTCTTCTCTTCTTATTTTATAGAGAGAAAGCACACCCCATCTGGTTAATCTCTCACACCAGCTTTGAGCGACAAACCAAATTTTGGTGTTCTTGAGTATTCGTCTTGTTTGATATTCTAGAGAGAGAAAGTGACAGAAATACAGGCATCCATCCATCGGCAAAGAAACCCATCAGAGAGAGAATGGCTTTTGAAGCAGCGAGTAGCAGCGAGAGGGAAGAAGGAGAGGGAAGGAGTGAAATTAGAGAGGTAGCGAGCGGAACTGAAAACAACAAGAAGGGTCAAGAATGGGATGGAACGACTGAAATTACAGAGGTAAAAGAGTCTTTGGAGAACCATCTGCCTGCTTACGATCATGCGACAAACCTCATGTGGCGTATGGAAGAAGAGGGAGCAGGCAAGAGGAAGGAGGAGGAAGGAGGACAGGGAACTAGTGAAATTACAGAGCAGGTAGGGAGTGAGGTCACATGGAAATATTTGCCCAAAAATGAAAATTGGCTAGGGGTAGGAACGATGAAGGATCACCAAACGGCTGCTGTTGTGTTCTATAGGGTGAACCAGAATAAAGTGGAAGAGGTTGAGAGAGAATGTGGAGGAGAGAGAGAGCTATGGCTTCAAGAAAATGCTGGTACGTGTTTCCATTTTCTTGTTTCTTCTGTTTGTTGATTTTATATCCCTTTTCTTTTCCGCTCTCTCTCTCTTAATTTGATTGATCATAGTTTGAATCATCAATATTTTTTTATAGGGCTTTTCAGTCCAAAAAGCATAAGAAATAGAATGATTGGGAAACGACCAAAACGACAGTGACGCCCAGAACGATCCTTGTTACATTTTTTGAGATTTAGCAGTCAATCAATCTTTCTCATTCAACTCTTTCGTGATTTCTGTTTTCTTTTTAATTTTCAAAGCATCGATTTCATCTACAATGTATCCGAATGCCATTGTTTCACCAAAAGTCACAACCATCATGTTGTGATCTGTAATCATAGCAGCACTTTGTATCAGATTTCAATATGGAATGTTCAATAAAATGCTGGTGATTGCTTCATGTTCCTTTTCTTCCCCTCATCTGCTTATTTATATGATACATGTTGATGTTGCTCGGGCTCTTGGGTCGATGAGGTCCTCTAGATTGATGCGCTAATCCCTGGAATGTTGGGTCGATGAGGTTCGCTGCTTAATACGTTTGTGTTTTGGACCGTGAGGTTTGTTTTATTTTATTTTTGTATTTAAAATAAGAGATTAATATTCGGTTTTTTGTGCATTCGGAGATTCGAAAGTTGGGAGATTCGAAAGTAGGATTTATAAACGGTAAATTTCAAACGCATTTTGGTCAAGTTATACTTTGCGATTTTTTTTTATATATATTTTATTATATTCTTCTATTTTTGACTAATAGACGCTCCAATTTTCAAGTGATTTGGATTTGTAAAAATAAAAAAAAAAATTTAAATACAAAATGAGATCGTGACCGTCATATCGGCTCGGATTAAATCTTAG